TTTGGTGAGTTTATAAATTAGGAAACGAGTATTAATTATTAAATTTTCTAACCAATTACCATTGCAAGCGAGCACTATTCACTGATAATTCTAAGGCATAGCATATTGATCTCATTGGCTCCACCAACAATCTTTCAGTCAAGTAATCAAATTACTCATCTAACTCGGTAATTGCATATGGCTAATAACAAAGCCTTTTCTTAACGCCTTTTTCTTAACGCTTTAATATTTTTAAAAAGCAATGGATTCAAAGAAACCAGTTTAGATTATGCAAGAAAGAAAAGAAGGTCCCAAAAACATGACAAAAAAAGGAAAGAAACAAATGTGACGTGACGTAACGTAGATATCCATTTATTCCAATCGTTTTGCATGGAGCATGCATGTGTACCGTGCACGTAGTAGACCACACAACTCCTTCATAAAACTCCCCCCTCTCTCTACCCATCACCAAACTACAACCATCAGATCAGAAAACATGAGAGAAGAACTCGTTCAAAACGCAAATCAGCCACAGTCGACTCAGTCAATGAGAGAGGGAAGATTGTTTTCTTTCCTCAAAACGTTCTCTTTTATCATGCCATTGTTGGATCTTATTAAGGTTGTTATTGCTTCCGTGGCCTCCGTTGCGCTCTTAGGCTTCGCCGGTCTAACACTTGCGGTTTCAACCGTGGGATTCCTCGTATCCACACCACTTTTCATCATATTCAGTCCAATTCTCGTACCCGCCACTGTAGTCACCACTCTCCTAGCCACTGGGCTCACCGCCGGTTCCTCCATAGGAGTGACGGCCTTGGGTCTCATCATTTGGCTCATTAAGTAAGATATTGAAAAAATTATATTGGAAATAACTCGAGATTTATGCTTATATATTATTCACATATGCGTACATGTACATATTATAGCAATAGCTTTAGATTCATATTTAGGCCACGCTATTAAAGGCGATTGTAGCTTAATGGCTACCTAATCCTGATGAGTTTTATTTTTTTCAATTTTGTGTTCGATCAGCTCCCCCACATATCCTTATTCTCTTACTTTGTAATTGATTGCAGAATTCATCATGGAATTAGATCACGGTTTGGTTCGAGTTCTTCCCATGTAATCTCAATCATGATTGGTTTAAGTAAATGTTTTAAATTAATGGAAAGAATATCCGACTCTTTCATAGATTTTGGAAATTCGTATAGACTTGGATCCATAATTCACTGTTATACAAAATAGCACAATAAAAATATCTCTAACTCCCTCTTTTGTCTACCGTTCTTGTTATTACTTTTTACCTTCTCTACATATTTTTTTTATTAGTTACATTACATTGTGTTATTACTTTCAAGCATATGGTACCCATTTTTTTTTCACTTAATTGATATCTTACGTATATTACACTTGTTTGTGTGATGTAGGCATAGGATGGGAGTACAACCAAGAAAAAATCCACCTCCGGAAGGAGCTCCGCCCACTGCAGGACTAAGGGGTAAGTTACGGGACAGAAT